TAAACTCATTTCTAAAAACAAGAGTAGACGTCGCGACATTGCTATGTCGCGGCTATCCAGATTAAAAAGAAGGACTGCACAATATTGTGAGAAAAATTGAAAAATTTATGACAATCCGAAGAGGCAAAAATCTGAGCTTTATCCAGGTGAGATATTGATCAGCACTGCAAAACCAAACATTAATGCAAAAATAATTTTGCAGTTTATCTAGTGGAACCAGAAGAACGTTATTCACTTTGAATTCCTCAAACGCCCTCCCCCGTCAAACTGTCACTGCTGAGCGTTATCATCATCAATGACGCTACACAGCCCATGTAGAACCTGGGCTTAACTCTTTCTTACGTATGCATGTGTTGCGTACGCAGATTATACACATTCATACGACTGACAGTTCAAGTGTCAGTTCCGAACGGCAAATTTTTAGAGAGAGCCTTCCATGGCATGAATACTCTTGGTGGTTTGCCAGACCACCGAAGAGAAGTCGCGCGCATAAAAATATTTCTGGCTCTACTGGGAGTCGAATCCGAAACCTCTAGCATAGCAGCCAGTGTGCAGTCTACTATGCTACGCTTGCGCTCAATAGCGTTATCAGCAGTAACTAATTCGTATTAATAACGCCCTTGACGAGAAGAGGCCTTTTACTGGAAGTGAGAAAAGGGAAGTGATTTTGCTATAAAACAAGGTGCGGCCCCGCACAGCAAAACCAACACTGGAATATCTTCGATCATCTCCAAATTGAGTTAAGAAATTCTTCTTCACGCGACGTGTTCTTCAGACCTCGTCTCTTCGAATTAATGTCTCTTTAGATCCCTGCAACATCATATGGCTGATTTATACTACACATCTTTTGAGTAGGTTGAAAAAAGCTTCGTTGAATTTATCGACTCAAAACAACCATCTTTATTTCAAAATGAAATTCGAACATTGCCTGAAAGATAGCAGAAATTTATAGAAAGTAAGAAAGATTATTTTGAAGATTAGATCATCTATTCGTTCTTTTCATTAATAAACATCAAAATTTTGTGAAAAGAGAAGAGAAGAAAGAGAAGAGTAGAGGGGAACAGTTGTACTAATGATAATTGCGGTTCATAAATCAGAATGTTAATATAAAACATTGCAACAGGATTAAACATTTGAAAATAGTGAGATTTTTGAATATGCAAGGTAGATTTTAAAGGAATTTTGGAGGTTTCATATTCAATCACTGTTATGACGTTACCCTTCTCCTTGTCTTTTCCTCTGTCTTAACAAAAAGCGAGAGAGATACATCATTCACGCAATATACACAGTGACACATTTTAATCGACAAACAGAGATATCTCCGAAACTACGCAACCTACGAAAAAATGTTCGGATAAAAGTTGTCGAGGACAGTGGGGGTCATCTACCTGTACTTATGACCTTGACCTGGAGGTCAGTTTTCAAGGTCATTTCAAGGTCAGGGTCACTTTTTTAAATAGAACCCCCTATTTTTAATGACGGATTCAGAAAGAGCGGGATATTTTACATCCAGATATGTATCAAAGTATAAGGTTAACGTGACTTCCATAGGTCAAATGAAGGTCAAGAAACCACCCCTACCAAATACCAAGCAGGCTAAACCACTATTATTAATACAATTTTTAATTCTTTAAATATTTCAATCTCAGACAAATTCAAAGTGTAGATAATTTAAGGAGATAATTTAAAGATTCACATAATTATAGAAAATCTGTATTTTAAAATTAACCCATTGAGTTCCAAAATGACGAAAAATTTTTTATGTTTGAGCAAGTTTGAGTAAAAAAAATTTTTCCCACTTTATTTTTGGGTTTAAAAAAATTTTTCCAAAATATTTTGACTTTTCATTAAAACTTTCAAATTCAAACGTAAGAAAGATATTTTGTCACTTCAGATTTGATAAATTAATAGTTTTAAATGTTGCCCCGTACAGTATAATTACAAATTTTTTGAACGAATTAAACTCTCTTTAATGCCACTTTCTCAGTATGGCATGCTACCTTGCAAATAAAATTAGTGATATGATAGTAGTTTGCCATAACAACTACTTTGCTACATGAAGGCTTTTACTAAATGTTTTCCAGATGAAAGACATCCTAACAACTGAGCAATTTGAAACTTACCTCAATAAGCGCGTGATAGAAATCTGGTTCGACAGCGTCGACATCATAAATACAACGAAGGTAATGCACGAGCTTGTGAGTCAGTCTTCTTGTGGATTGGAATTCATTTTATTTTAAAGAAAAAGAAACGATTTAACTCGCTGTTCACAGAGTTAGATGGTTTAGCCTGCTTGGAGTTTGGTAGGGGTGGTTTCTTGACCTTCATTTGACCTATGGAAGTCACGTTAACCTTATACTTTGATACATGTCTGGATGTAAAATTTTCCGCTCTTTCTGAATCCGGCATTAAAAATAGGGGGTTCGGTTTAAAAAAGTGACCTTGACTTTGAAATAACCTTGAAAACTGACCTTAAGGTCAAGGTCATTAGTACAGGTAGATGACCCTCACTGTCCTCGACAACTTTTATCCGAACATTTTTTTCGTAGATTGGGTAGTTTCGGAGATATTTCTGTTTGTCGATTAAAATGGGTCACCGTGTACTTATCCTTCAATATAGTCTTCAACGCGACCATAAGAAGGCGCAGTCTACATATATATAAGTCTGTGCAATAATTTCGCGCAAATACGCTCGGCGGTTTTTCATTAAGACATCAAGGATTTTTTCAATAATTTTTTTCGTAGTGGTCTAAATTGAGCGTATCTGGAGCGCGATATATCCTCAGAGCACGTACGACTACGTTTAATTTCATTTATTAATTAAACGGCCTTGAACCCTGGTTAAGAGTCGTTATGATTTTCATTCAACTTGGCTTTGATCTGCGCGGCAGTGAGTGAGTTAAGTTCTTCAAATAACAATGTTTCATGACGACACGGAACTAATTTTTTTGTATTATTACGGCAAATGCGAAATTAGTCGATTTAGATGACAATCAAACGTCAACACGTCGCATTTGACTGAAATTTTGACAGAGGTTACTTGGAGAATAATACTTGCTAGGAGTCATGTTATTTTATAAATTATGGCGCCATCTCATTGAATTTTACGAGGGTGGTCCCAGAAGTACCCGACCCAACAAAAAAAAACAAAATTTTGGAAAAAAATGTATTTATTTTTCAACATAATCTCCTCTCAGCTCTATACACTTTTCCCAGCGATGTTCAATAATTTCGATACCCTTTTTATAATAAAAACTGTCTTGCTCTTCAAAATAGCCATTAACTGCCGACATCACTTCTTCATCGTTGGAAAATCTTTGCCGCTGAGCCATTTTTTCAAGTTTGGGAACAGAAAATAATCCGAGGGGGCTAAATCTGGCGAATAGGGTGAACGAGGTAGCAATTCAAACTTTAATTCATTAATTTTGGCCATTGCAATAACGGATTTGTGAGCTGGTGCATTGCCGTGATGAAACAACACTTTCTTCTTAGCTAAATGCGGCCGTTTTTGCTTGATTTCTTCGTTCAAACGTTGCAATAAGTTCGCATAATACTCGCCGTTGATAGTTTTTCCTTTTTCAAGATAGTCAATAAAAATGATACCACGCGCATCCCAAAAAACCGACGCCATGACCTTGCCTGCAAATGAAACCGTCTCCGCCTTCTTTGGAGCCGGTTCTCCCTTTTGAGTCCATTGTTTTGATTGTTCTTTTGTCTCGGGTGTAAAGTGATGGACCCATGTTTCATCCATGGTTATGAAACAGCGCAAAAATTCTTCTTTGTTGCTGTGAAACTTCGCTAAATACTCAATTGAAACATCTTCACGACACTGTTTTTGCTCGAGTGTGAGCAAAGGCTGCACCCATCTTGCACACAGCTCTCTCATGTCCAAATTTTCAGATAATATGCAATGTACCGCACTTTTTGAAATGCCTGCTATGTCTGCTAGCTCGCGCACTTTCAGTCGACGATCATCCAGTACCGCTTTGTGGATTTTCTTCACCATTTCTGGAGTCGTCACCTCATTTGGTCGACCACTGCGATGCTTGTCTTGGCAGCTCGTACGGCCTCCTTTAAACTCTGCTACCCAATATTTTACTGTTGTAAACGAAGGAGCAGACTGACCCAGAGTAGAATCCAGTTCAGCTTTTATATTGGTTGGGCTAAGGCCTTTCAAATAAAAGTATTGTATCACATAACGATGACCAATTTTCTCCATTTTCACAAATACATTAAAAACGTTCAATATTAATGGCTGCCAGACAAATACTAAACAACGTGGCGTCTTCAAACTTGAAACATATGATTTATAGATTGTGTACTTTCTAATACAGTGATATTTTTCAAACAACTACCGCCATCTCTAGGTCAGGCCGAGTACTTCAGGGACCACCCTCGTATCAAACTTTTCAAACTACCCTCATAAATATATGTATTCTCATGGAGTGTGAATTATTAGGACCAATAGTAACCAGTAGCATATCTTTATATATAACTGGCGCTTTCGACATTATCTATATAATTCGTGAAGTATCGTTTATATGCAAGAAATAAAAGATTGATTGAACATTCGATTGATGTAAAATAATGGTCAACAGCTTGACTCGATTATTTTTCTTGCCCTCTTCTGATTTATCCTGTATCTATAACATATTAGACGTGCGCGAAGTATAGAAAACTGTGTATATACACAAAAACGTTAGAAAATTAGATGAAAATATAAAGATAAGTTATATGAGAAATAAAAAACTAAATAACAGATTTATTGTAATTTTTAATCCACAAATTTTTTTATGATTTTGTATATATATTACTTTCTATCTTTGCGTCTACCATGTTTTAGATAAGATACAAATCAAAAGAAGATAAGAGATTCAAATGAGGCAGTTATTATCTTACGCCTACAGAATGTTCAAGCATGTATTTATTTCTTGCATATTAGCGATACTTCAAGAATTATATAGATTACGTTAAACAAAAAAACACAAATCGTATGTAAGAATATAAATACTAATCTCAAAATATCACACGCAATGTTAATAAATATTTTTTGTTATTAAAAATTGGTTATCAATTAATATCCTTTTTTCCATTAGGCTCGTAATTTCACACTGCATGAAAATGTTATAAGCATAACCATGATATGTGTGGACGGCCATAAATAAATTACGACCGCAAGTTGCTCCAATTATGTAACGTCATCTTGCAAAAATGCTGATGTGGATTCTGGCGATTACAATATCAAAATCCAGGTAGTCAGCGTTCACACCCAAGTGACGCTGACATATCTAAACCCTCTGATTTAGACATACGAGGTCTGTTCAGAAAGTATCGCGAATTTGGTGTTTCTTCAAAAATTATTTATTTACTCATGAATACCTATTTTGTCTTCTTCAAAGTAATCCCCATCAGATATTATACACTTGTG